TATATATATATATATATATATATATATATATATATATATATATATATATATATATATATATATATATATATATATATATATATATATATATATATGGATGGATGTTAATTCTGTCTGACATATCAGTGGTCTATCCAACCAAGTTATATTCGTTTCTGAGACCAAGTCACGGACATTGGTTATGCCCGCGGCCACAAAGTGTCCGAGAGCAAAAGGTTCGTTTGTAATGTAGGATGAGTGGGTTATTGAAAAGTGGCTCATTAAGAATACCAGTTAGGCTACGGTCATTAAATTTATTTGCAGACTTCCAACACTGAAGGAGTTCACAATAGAATTAATGGCAATCGATGTAAAGATGCATTGAGAGTGGCGCACAGTAGTTGACTTGCATATGACGTATTACGTGCTTGGTTAAAAGGGGAGATACTGTGTTTCGGTGGATTCTTTGCACTTTTAGAACTACATTTATGGACGGTTCAATAACTGCGACGAAATTATGCTATTAATAACAAGAGCGCTCCCTTTATGATACATGCTATGAACAAAGTGATTCCAGAAATTGATTTACTTTTTCACGTTAGACACAAGTTCAGCCTAGTTCAGCCTAGTTTTGATCAGTATAAGTTTAAATACTCTAAAGATACCCAACCCAGCAGTTTAAACTTCACGCTGTTACAAAACAACTAACTATATCATAATAGAAATGCATTGATTTAATAACTATTTTTAATAACAATTATTTGTTTAATACATTCAAAATAAAGTTATGCAGTTGTGCAAAACGATATTAATCACTTCCTGAAAAACCCACGCTTCCCTAAAACACATAAGAACATTTATTCATGTAAAATGATGAAACTATCTGTGGGGAAAATTAAATAATGTATCTGTCACTATCTCACGTTAGATTAGTGACAACATCAATAAATTTGGTGTTCTATGAAAATTACTTACCTCTGCTTGTGGCTTGATTTGAACAATTTCATAATATATAGATGGCTTACCTGTTCAGAATGGGGCGTCCGTGAAGTTTTATTTAGTTGTCTGTTCCTAGACAATGATGCTAGAAGTGCTAAATATTTTAGTAGCCCATAGTTCAAAGGATGTCAGGTCGTTTTCCATTATTGTTGGAGTGGGTTGGAAATTTACATATATTGTATATTAAATTATGCGCTTATTTTCTCCTTTTACCGACCAAAGTAACACATGCTTCTTTATTTATTTATTGTAAACTCGAACCATGTGACATTGAAATGCCCCTCCCTTACACATACCAGAGTGAACACCAGCATGACCTGTACTCACCCCTTTGTTTGTCACACTGGCAGATATTCAAACAAAAATAACCAACGCTTTCAATGTTACAGAGCTACTGTGCTAATGTTTAAAACCTAAAATTATGTTCGCCAGTTGGATACACGGTCAGATTGAGGCGGGATTGTCAAACTGCGACAGTGGCGTGCGAGTTTATTATGTCTCACTACTTACATGGGCGGCCTCAGCACAACCCTTGTAGTAGGTAACATGCATTGGCAGTGTTTCTTCATAAACAATGTGTCAATGCGCTAAGTGACCCCCAGTGTACTGGTCTGCTGCCTTCCAAAGGAGTATTATGTTCGACCTAGATATACATATACCATTCAATGTGTTTAATTACAGACGTTCACCCACTCACTGTATGTCTCTGCAGCTTAAAGACCATGCTCGTTTTAGCTGAAAATGGGCTTCAAGACATTTGATGGTACTCCAATTCGTGTTCTAAATATGTTTTCAAATGAGTTGTGTCTATTTGTGGTTCACACTAGACCAATGATAGGCAAACTTACTAACTCGTCAGTCTTACAGTACGTCGGGTTGAAGGAGCCTTGTTCAAGAATATATTGTTTTATTGTTTTAAAGCTCCCGTCTTGAAGTTTGAATGAATACGCATAATTAGATGGATGTGTCAGAGAAGGATGTAGACTGTAACGTAGTGGTGTGAACTGGTGACATCGAGATAACGCTTAGAGTACAATGGTTGTCCCTAGGAGTTGGACAAACGGCCAAGCACAGAGAGCAAACAAGTGGACTTGTGCGTATATATCTGAATCTGTCTGTGTGTCTCTAAGTCTATATGTGTGGGTGTTCCAATTTGAGTCTGTCTTTTTATAAGGTGAATCACGTGATCCAAATTGATACATCACATGACTCAAAACACCTTTTATGATAGGTCAGTGATTCATAATACACCCGCATAAGTTTCCCGAAATACATTGAATAAAAATACATTGACTAAAAATAAAGTAACTTTAGCACCTCTACATCGTGGTTAAATGCTTTACATGTTAAATGCTAATTCGTCGCAGATGATAATGTTTTATGAATTATATTAGTACACGGCTGCCCATATACCACATACTTGCTAAAAGCGACATGGATATTGTTTTAGAAACCACACTTCTTGATAGCAATGCGAAGATACGCTTGATATTGTTTCAATACAAGTGTCGCATACGACTTATTTACCACTTCCGTGTCACTGAGAATGATCTAGAACCGTACTGTGTCTGGGTGGAATATTCTAGAAAAAAACACAGCTAAATGTACCTTGAAAACTTC